GAGAAAACTACTCTCTAGGAACGAAAGTTTCAGATTATCTCCATTTTATCAGTCTGCTATGTAAGACGGGAGATATGATATACTGCACTTATTTCAGTCAGCATAAGCTGAAATCAACTGTATTTTCTTGCATACCACACACCCTGGAAGATGACGCACACCTTGTTATTAGGAGGCAGAATAAAGAAAAGAAATATTATTCCAGTCACAGAAGTTACTGAGATCACTTTGGTGGTACAGTGTAAGGATGTCCTAAAACTTGCACCTCTATTTCTTTTTAATTTCAAGGAGATGGAACAACCCCACCGACTGAGCTGGCCTTGGATGACCACACACTGGACACAGTAACCATCTAAAACCATCTTTTGGGTTGACTTAGTTCAACCCTGAACCTAATAATAAACACCACTAGGAGACAATGCTGTTATCTGTCCTCTAATAGAAGGGCAGGGAGCTTCTCAGTACTGCCTTTATCTGTGCAGTTCCTTAAGAGCCCAGGCTGTGGAGCATTCCTTGAGAATGTGGCTCTAGCCCTTAGGGCAGAGAAAGCAATGAATGTGCTTCTCTGTTACCAGCTCCTGCTTGTCCCATGGGGTAATTTCTTCACATCAGTAGAGATGCTCACTGTCATGAGGCCAAAAGCCACTCCATGAGCCAGTAAATGCTCAATAGAGGGTTGAGTGAAGGAAGAAAACATGAGCCAAAACACTGGCAGAACTGACAGCAAATTCATAAAGGAGCTGCAGAGTAACATCTGGCACTGTGAGATCTTGTTCACTGTTTCCAGCTGCCAGCTGGGTTGTAATGTTGGGTGAGTCCCTTCTCTATGGCCTCTGTTTGGGGGTATGCTCAGGCCTAGTGGATGCCATCGACCTGCACTTCACCTGCAGTCATGTTCCATCCAACCCCCAAGTGTCCCCTTATTCCATGAAGACAGCAAAATGTGAGTGTTGATTATAGTCAGCAGGGGCCAGTTGAAGAATGTTGTGCTCTCTAGCTATACTACAGCTGGCGGTGAAGGCAACGAGAGCATTTCCCAGAGGTCAAGGATTATGTTTGCACTTCAGTTCCTAATTAAATTTAGTCTTTGTCATTGGCTGGAATTCTGAGCCCTCCTGTTAGTTCTTCAACTCTCCCTGTCTTTCTGTTGTATCTGTTGTACTTCCTTCTGGGACACTACCGTCTCCCTTTACCAGTCTGTACTGGCTGGCACTGACATCCTTGACATGAGTGCTGTACAAGGTCACCCTCAGGTTTGCCTTGTTTCTCCAGTGAAATCAGTACAAGACAGAAGTGTTCACACTTGGGTGTTATTTCCAGGTGTTTGCCATCTGTATGGATCCTACTCAGACTCCAGTTTAAAGGTTTTGTTTGCAACCCTGAGAGCTAGAGTTTGTTTGTTTCTTTTTAAAGATCAGTTTATACGTGAACCACACAGGGGAGGCAGGCAGCCTGTGCTTAAACAAGCATTCTTGTTTATTCAAGGTTTGAAAACCAAACATGCTTCTAAAATATGCAGACAGATACAACCCAGGGTACAAAAAAAAAAATCTATGAGGGTGCCACCTAGTGGTGTCCATTACAATAACAGGGTAGAAAGCTCCTCCCTGGCCCTCCTTAGCCTGATGAATGGCATAAGGTTGGTGCGTGAGGGTCATTCCACAGGTGGATCCCGTGCACCATACATGGCTGAGATATATAGCTAGGCACCAGCCTGACCCCATGCAGGGGCCCAACCCTGCTTATTGGGATCCAGCCATATGCCAGCCCAACCCTGCACGCTAGCACAATTTAGCAGGCAGGGCCATGTTGGTATTTGGCCTTTTGGTATCAGAGGAGCAGCAATTAATGCTGCCACCGCTCCCCCACCACCAAACATCTGGCTGGATGACAGTTCCACACACCAGAGGTTGAGCACTACCGATCTATTTGGTCTTGAATTACATGGTTGTAATTCTAGGAAGAAGTAGCTGTGAGCAGACTGTGAACAGCTCTGGATGCAGTAAAAAGAGTAGAGAAATAGTACTGCATTTAAACAACCAAAGAAGGGAACTCTTAGCCAACACCCTAAGCATCCCTGCCATAAGCAAAATTAGATGGTCAGCCAAGTTCCTTCTTCTCTCCATGCAGCTGATTGTTCTCACAGGTCATCCTCCCCACATATAGTTGTGTCTTGGCAGCTTGTGCTCAAGGTCAGTAACCTGGGTCTACGTCAAAGCAGGGAGGAAGCCTGTTTCAGAGTTCAGATTCCTTGCCAGTAACATTTGCAAGGCCAGCCCTCCTCCTTCAAATCAAGCAGAATCTAACATAAGAACTATTACCAATTATAATTTGGGCAATGTGGCAGAAGGAGAGGCAATCTACCAATAAATGCTTTGCCACCTCCGTAGTAGGCCTTTATGAATAAAATCCAGTACCTTGAATTCAGTCTGAAAACCAACATCATAGTGTCAAATGCTGTTGCCATATTACATTCCAGATTGACCCAAGGCAGTGGTTTTCAACCTTTTTTAGATGTGAGGCAACCCTCAGAAAATGCAAGCACTGAGCTTTCACTTGTTTCTTGACCATGGAAAAATACTAGAGGAATTCTTCTGTTGCAAAGAACTTCAGAAAGATAGGGCAGAATGGTTTTGACACAATGGATTCATTTTAAAAATCTCTGGGTTTTTTCTTGTGAATCCTGTGTTGGCATTTGCACACCTAATAGTGCTGAGGTTATGCAGCATCCCATGGCACCCTTAGAAGAATCTTGCAGCAGCGTGCTTGAGCATCACTGACCTGCGGTCAGAGATGCATAGGTCACATTAACATGCTTAGCCACTGAAAGAAAGGGTGGTAATGTCTTGGCTAGGTGTATAGCATACAAAGCATCCATGGATAATAATGCTGTATTAGATTTTCAACCCATTCCTGGGTAAGTTGGCACCTTCCCATTTGTAAACACAGGTAGAAGTGGAAAACATACCTCAGTCATAAGCACGGTTGCTTAACCAGGCATCTGTATACAGCTCAACTAATGAAGTGTAGAGGTAGCATCTTAACACCATTCATTCTATGTTATGAGCCCCATCCCCATGACTTACTGCCACTGCAACATACTTGAGCAAAGCAATAATGCTTCAAAGCACCATGTGCTGACAGTGTGTCTTGCACCTGTTCTAGCACTGGTTCCCTAATACAGTAAAATGGAGCAGGGTGACTCAGGAAAACTATTTCCTTGCAAGATCACCCGTACCAGCACCCTGCCCCAGGCCTGGCTGCTTAAGATAAGAAGAGATGGGTGTGAATACTACTCTTCCCACTGTGCAGTGCTCAGGCATCCTACAGTACCCAGCTGCTGTTAAACACAGGTCTCCTTCAACTATTTACTTCTTTAAAAATTATCAACTGCTGTAGCCACGTTCTGCATGGGATTGTCAGTGGGTTGGTGCAGGTGGCTTGTATTTGTGTATGAAAAGAGGCGCATAACCCTCTATAGCAGCAGAGTAAGGACCCAGAGCCATACAAAATCATGTGTCCTTGTATCTTTGAAACCCTGATTGCATTTGAACATACTTGTACTGGAATCCTTCCTCCTAGCCAGTCAGCCCCTATAGCTGTGTATACATGTTATATATATGGATATAGTGTTCATCTGGGAGGAGAGAGAGCATGACTGTAAAGTGATCTCCCTTCTCTGCCTAAAACGCTTATTACCAAATTCCTCTGGGCTTGACATGGCTTGGCAATGCATGTCATGCTCATTTGTTTCTTTTGCATGACTTGTTTCAACCCAAGTTTCTCCCCACCTTAAAAAAATGCTTTTAGCCCAAGTTCAGGGCACTTCAAATTTTAACCTGCTCCTTTTCCAGCTCCTGCTCCAGTTGGGGTGGTTTTGTTTGATCTGCTATCCCCTTCTGATTATCAGCTTGCCAAGGAAGACTCAGTTGCATGACTACAGATCAATCACTTCTCCAATAAAAGCATGTTTATCCCCCTCTTCCCCCCCAAGATACTTGTGTTGCCCTGTTCCCACCTCTTGATTCAACAGGAGGGGAGTTTCTTTCTTTTTACTATCACATGCCTACTTCTAGCTACTGCTGCGGTACATAAGGTGCCTGCTGCCCATGGATGTGCTGCATGAAGCATCCTCACTTCAGTCCCTGCGTGTTTAGCACAGCAATGGACCCCCAACGTTCCCTTCCTGCCTGTAACACTCACTTCTGTCTGCAGCTGGCTAAAGCACTGTTCTTCCCCTCTTCTCTCAAGCCCCGGGGCTGCAGCCCCCAATCAGCAGGCAAAGTGACCCCCACCACATCATCCATCTAGTCTTAAATCCAACTCCTTCCATCGCCCGCTAATAAACAGCCCGCTGCATTTATGGGGGTGGGAGTGATAATAGTGGGGACACGCAATGGGAAGGGCAGCTCTGGAAGCCTCAAGGACCCGGGTTTCCATGTTTAAATCTTGCATCTCAGTATGTACACACGCATACACATACATGCGTGCACACCCTCACACCCATGTACATACACACGTACACACAACCACACAGATATGCACACACGTATACGTACACACAAGCATATACGCATGCACACGTGGACACGCACACACAGGTGCACACATATTCCCCTCCCCCCCGATACACACGCATGCGCAGATACATGCAGCCATGCAGGGCCGGATTAACCCTTTAGTGGTGCTGGGCGGCTCGGGCGGAGAGAAGGGCTCAGCCCCGCGGCGCTCCCAGCCCAGGACAAAGGGAGCCGGACCCGCCTGGGCTGCGGCCGCGACTCCCGGGTCCAGCCTCACACCAGCTGAAGGCCCCCGCAAGCCGGGGCTGCAACATGGCGGCAGCGACACGGGACCGCCGCCCCAGCGGGACAGGTCTCCGCGCTGGCGGCGTCGCCCGCCCCTCCCCTCCCCCCTACCCCGCCGCGCCGGGGGCCGCGCCGGGTCCCGGGACAGTGGGAGCAGCAGTGCGGTCTCCGCCGCGGTCCGCACCGCGCTCCTAAATACCCGGATGCGGCCGCCGGGACAGCCAGGGCCGGAGCCGGCGGGTGGAAGCTGAGCGGTCTGGCACAGCGGGCACCTTCTCTCGCCCTTCTCTGAGGGGCCCTCCCCGGGGACCCGCCGACACAGAGAGCCCGGTGCCAGGGCAGGAGCCGCGCCTCCTCCGCCAGGCCTGCCAGCAGAGGGGCAGTTGGGACATCCCAAAGCCGAGGTGCCAGGCCCTCGGCGCCAGGCAGTTTGCGAGAGGGAGAAGCCAAAGGGAGGATGACGGAGGACTCGCCCCCGGCTGCCAAGCCCAAGCAGGCCAAGGTGGGCAAGAAGCGGACAGAGCACCCCAAGTACTCCGACATGATTGTGGCAGCCATCCAGGCTGAGAAGAGCCGCGCCGGCTCCTCTCGCCAATCCATCCAGAAGTACATCAAGAGCCACTATAAGGTTGGGGAGAACGCGGACTCCCAGATCAAGTTGTCCATCAAGCGGCTGGTCACCACTGGTGTCCTCAAGCAGACCAAAGGGGTCGGCGCATCCGGGTCTTTCCGCCTGGCCAAGGGTGATGAACCCAAGAAGCCACCAGCCAAGAAGGAAGTCACGAAGGCTGCAGTGCCCAGGAAAGTCACTAAACCCAAGAAAGCTGCTGCCAGGGCTCCAGCCAGGAAGCCCAAAGCAGCCCCCAAGAAAGCCAAAAAGAAGCCAGCAGCCACTCCAAAGAAAGCCAAGAAGCCCAAGACTGTTAAGGCCAAACCAGTGAAGGCATCAAAGCCGAAGAAGGCAAAGCCATCCAAACCCAAAGCAAAATCCAGCACAAAGAAATCTGCCAAGAAGTGAAGCTTGCGTACTTTTTCTTGAAGACTGTCCTTCATGTCTGCTTTTGTAAATAGTCTTCTCCTTTTATCCTCTTCTTCCTTTTTATTGCAACTTTATAGAGACTGAGCACTTATTTCCCTGAAATAGTTACAACAATTCAGTTGCTTTAAAAAAGCAAGAAAAAAGCCAACCCAGAGAGAGAAACTCTCCACAGTGAGAGTCCCCTTTTAAGTGTTTATGGGTTTGTTTTTATTCTGTTGTAATCTTAGAGCTCTCTTCATGTCTCTCCCTTTTGTTTTTAATTTGAATGTATGAAATACTTGTGGGTTTGGTTTTTGGTTTGTTTTTTTTTTTAAGCAGTGGGAGTCCATGTTGGGTGGAAAAGAAAGAGGATGGATTTACTAACTTTCCTTCTGCCTGTAGAGATATTTGGCTGTGCAAGGAACTGGCCTGGGTCAGAAGGTCAGGGCAAAGACCCCTTATTGAAAGGGCCTGAGGAACTAGCTTGTTGGTCCTCAGGGGATGAATAGATGTAGCATCAACTAAGTTTCCCTTCACCTGGCTGCAGTGGGTCAGTGTCCCACTCCTCATCGATGTAGTGGCCTGCTAATGAGAAGAGAGAGAAGCTGGCAGTGGGGAGAGGTGTGGATTTGAGTTGGCATCCAAGCCACCTACTTGGCTCTGTGGGAGGCAGGGGATTAGGCTTGAAATAGGGATGGGCTGCAGGGTGCGCCACACGGATGGATGTTTTATAATATTTATTTTTTTTTAGAAGTGGATTTTGCAGTCAGGTGCGGTTGATGGCAGTGGAGTGGGGGTTAAAAGGGAGGACAGATTTCCTGCCCCCCCCTTCAAAAGAAGCAATGCTGCTTCCACAAGTCTGAGGGCTGCTGTCTTGATCTACCTGATTTCAAATTCAATGAGACCTCCTGGGCTTCAGGGAAGGGATTAGGAAAACTTCTCCGGGAAGTCCTGCAGCACCCACCTGGGAACCATGGCTTGGGCAGGGACCCCTCTATCCACAACCCCTATGGACTGAACCTCTTGCAGTTGCTTTGTGGAGCTGGAGCTTTGACCTGCTGTGGCTTGAGGCTTGTGCTTTGGGTTTTCTTTTCTTTTTTTGTGGGGGGAGAGTTGGAGGGTGAGAGCTGGCAAGGGGAAGTTGTGGGGGGGCGTTATGTGGGGAGCAGTGTTGATTTACACCAATAAAATTATATGTTTTGGTTAATTTTATTATAAGGTTATTTTATAATTATTTATTATATATAATGTTATAAGGTTATTTTATTTATATAATATATGAGAGAAAGAGATCCCTAGCTAGGGTGGGTTTTCTGTTTTAAAGCTAAGTGGGGTGGGGGGGTGGAAAGGGAGATCGCCTAGGATTGGCACCTGCTTGTCCATTTCATTTCCAAGTGTCATATGTCCAGGGAGGAATTTGCTTGTCTTTGTAATTTTAAAAGTTTAAAAATAAAAATTCTGAGCCATGGCAGCCCCCAAAAGCTGGAGTTTCCCCGAGTCCTGCCCTGTAGCCTTTCGGCTCCTCCATGTATTT